TCTCTCTCTCTATATATATATATATACACACACACACACACCTTTGTGAGCATATCTACAAGAACAACTCACACTAACATTAATAGATAGTAAATGCCAGGCTGCCTTCCAAAAGGATGGTGTTAATCTCACAGTCAAGAGGAAACACTTTAAACAGCAGCATATGATTTGGATTTTTTAAAAAATGAAGCCAAATTTCTGTAATACACGGAGTAACTATACTATGAAGGCTACAATGTACACTCAGTAAAAGTCAGTATAAAAACATAAAATTCTACTACTTTCTGTTTAATGAAGGTCATGGAGAAACTATACAAGAAATCCTATTTAGGCCACTATTCTTTATTTTTATTTTTTTTTGGGGGGGCACTATTTTTTTAACATGAAAATACTACCTAGCTTGAAAGAGTCTCATAAAACGTGACTGTGACTATGCTTTAAACTTAGCATGTTACTTTAACACAGTGAGTAAAATCCTATTGAAATAAACACCAAGAAACATCAGCTGATATTTACATTCTTATTTAGAGAAAACAGAAGAGAATATAAAAATCATTTAGTCAAGTGCTTACAACATTTTAACAGTAACAAACACACAAAGAAGTAAAAAAAGACATTAGAAATAATGTACTTCTTCAGTCTCCAAGGTCAATGTGATTCCCACTACTCTACACTGTATACTTAAGCTTAGATTCAATTTATTTAATTTTTTTTATTAGTGAAAATAAAAAGCAAATAACTTAGTACTCAATCTCTTCATTTTTTTGTTGTTTGTTTTGGTTTTGGTTTATTTTTCTCACTATGTAGTCCAGACTGGCTTTGAACACACCAAGTAGCCTAGGTTGGCCTCAAACTTGTGGCAATCTGCGTTCCTCAGCTTCCGGAGTGCTGGGATTACACGCATGTTACCACCATGCCCAGCTCAATCTTTTAAATGTAATTTTAAATAGAGGAAATTTACTGATAGACTTTAATAAATCATTTTAAATAAATGTTTAAATTTTATCATAATACAGAGCAAACTCATTTACAGGGACAAAAGCCAAAGCTATACATATAAAAGGCTGACAAAAAATAGTTCTATGCAGATTGAAATGCTGAAATACAAATCTGGAAAAAAAAAATTACCTGGATATCTTGTAGACAAATTTCATGAGCATCCAAAGAACACTGTAGTCTTGGTTCTAGTAGTTTTTTTAAATTGCCAATTGGTTCGTTGATGTCTATGGCCTGGCTTACACATTCAGCTGGGGTGTAGGTTTGTTCTACAATGCTAGATGTTAAAGGCATAAAGGTTAATAATTAAATCATTTCCTCAGATTTTTAAAGAGATAATATGCTCAAAACAAATTTCAAAACCAAAGCACATCTATGGTCTTTGAAAACATATTTCTTCTTAGACACTGTGGCAGATTATTTAATAACCTGCATTGCCAAACCAAACAATCAATTTCACAGCTAACTTCAAATTCAAAGCATCCTTGAAAATATATCTCATTGAATATATACATTGTGGGTGTACACATATACATACTGTCTGTACAGTATTTAAGGAAAACATATTTGCATTTACATCACATTTTCAAATCATTTTGAAAAATTTTAGGCCCAGAAAAGAAGACATAATATCTTCTCAAAATTTATATGCCAATTCTACTAGTTTCCCTTCTCAACATAAATATAATCTAGTAAGTGTAAAATAAGATACGAAAGTGTACCTTTCATTTAATCTTAACACTACTCATCACAATTACCATAACTCCACATTTTAAAAAAAGTATATTCTTCCTTAAAATTTTTTTAGAGCTTTTTTGTGTTATTTTACACTTTGAATTCAAAAGGATTAAAATGCTTGATAAGTAATTCTAAATATTTCTTGTTAATGTTTCTATGAGCCTGAACAGACGCCAGAAACTGCCAGTTATAGTGGTACTTGCCTGTAATTAAAGCTACCTGGGAGGCTGAAGCAAGAGGATCCTAACGTCAAGACCAGCCTGGTCCAATCTTAAGTGAGATTCTGCCTCCAAACAAAAAAATAAAAAGTGCTAGGGGATGTAGTTCAACAGTAGAACTCCCCTAAGGTTCACTTCCTTGCAAAACAGGAACAAAGACAAGTAACTGCTGAATTGGTGAATGTGAAATTCAATTAAATTTCATAGCATACTTAATTTAACTATGATTTCAATCTCATTTGCAATTGTCCAAAATAGTATGTAATAAAAAAATACCAACTTTCATTCACATAAATTCTAATGACGAGATATTTAATTCTAAAAATTAGGTATTTAATAAATATATGTAGCTCTAATTTTTCCTGAAACATTGAAAATTTATAAGACAGCTCACGAATGAAAATGTAAACTTATCTTAAAATAATAGTATAATATTTTTATTTAAGATGAAAAATATTTGTCTTTTTTTGGTTTAGGTAAGCATTTCTGCCAAAATTTTCAGCTATAGCACAAGAGGCTATTGTTTTCTTTTTTTTGTAACAATGATTTTTTAAAAGATTCTGATATTACTTTGAGACAGATTTTTAAAAGTCCTATCTTAGATATGATGAATAATGAAGATCTTTTATAGGGCCGGGGATTTAGCTCAGTGGTTCTGCTGCCTGCTTCACAGCATAAGGTCCCAAGTTTGATCCCTGGTACAAAAAAAAAAAACCAAACTTTTGCTATTGTTATGATTTAAACCATGGGAAATTTAAAAATCTGAATTACCAGCTTCTCTTGAAAAAAAAGATTGGTGGCCTTATAACACTAGCCCTAAATTTCAAGAAAGTAACAGTCTGCTACAGCTGAAAAGCAACTACTGATTCCTTGCACAAGTTACCACATTAACTACTAATTTTTCTCCCTAGATACATGTAAAGGGCTAGCAAGCACATACCTTAGGCTTTATAGACCAACTGGAGGTATGTGTATTAAAATAAATATATTCATGGTAGGCTCCAAGAGAGGGCCCAATGATTTTCATTTCCTAATATTCACACCCTTTTCTAGTTGCCTCCCACATTGTACCAGGGTTGGAATATGTGGCTAAAAAAATGAGCAAATGTGATATATGACTTTGTAGATTAGGTTATTTACCTAAAAAGAGATTGTGGCTTCCATCTTGGGAGGCTCTCTCAGTCCTTTTGCATTAGGGGAAGCCAGTTATCACGCCATAAACAGCCCCAGAGAGAGACCCATGTAGTAAGGAATTGAGGTATCCTGCCAAGAGGCTCACGAGTGAGTTTAGAACTAGTTAGAACTAGATATTCTAGTTCTAGTCAAGTTTTTGGATGACTGTAGCCCAGAATGACAACTTAACTGCAAGCTCATGGAATACCTGGAAGAGTCAGAACCACCTAGCTAAGCTATTTCAAGGCTGTTGATCTTATGAGAAAAATGTTCAGCATTAATAAATGTTGGAGGCCAGGGTTACAGCTCAATGGTAGAGTGCTTGTCGAGTATGCTTGAAACCCTGAGCTTGATCCCCAGTACTCTAAAAACAAAACAAAACAAAACTACACCAGGTGTTTTTACCTACTAAGTTTTGGGACAGTTTGTTACACATATAAATGTCTAAACGGAAATCAAGAGAATCATGCATTTTTTTCCCCTTGCTGGAAAACGTAACATAATGTGACATGCTGAAAGCTCTATTAGACACCAGGTTTTAAATTGCAGCTATACCCTTAACTCAGTATTGGAATTAATCTTAGTTACCTCGTCTTGTCCTTTGTCACTCTACAGTCTCTTTTACTTTAATACTAACCTTTCTTCTGTGCACTCCGCTTTCTCTGTACCATCAATCTCAATTTCTATCAATTCTTCTGCTTCCCTTTTAGTCATGATTGAAGTATTTTGAGAGTTCAGTCCTGAAAGAGTTAAATTTTAGTTTTGAAATTATCTGCTTAAACAAAAAAGATACACAAGATACACAGAATTAAAATAAAGCAGAGGTGGAAATAGTCTTCACATATAAAAGAAAATCCACATGATGTTCATAAGCTAGTTTTTCATTAAACTGGTATTTAATAGCCTTAATCAATCTTAGTAAAAAAATTAACTGAAGGTACTTCAAAATCCAGTGAAGGTTATGTTAAATACATTAAAGCATCTCAGATTCAAACCTGAAACAACATGAACTACGACTGATTAGTTCAAAAGTTGAACTTATTAGCAGTATTTACTGCAAAGTATAATACTGATAAGTGATATAAATTAACCTAATCACATCTAGAATTTGTTACAAATTATAAATGCAAATATTTCAAAATAGTAAAATAAAGTAAGAAATATGCACACTATTGCCGCATTATACATTGAAAATTTTAAAGATTTTTTCAGATGTAATTGTATTTTAAACTACATAGTTTTTCTCATGTAAAAGTTTTAAAAGACCAAAACAAAGATACTACAATTTTAAAAATATCAAGTAAACATGAAATAGCTAAAAATGTTCATATTCCTTTGCAAACCATTTTCAAATGTTAATGGTACAAGTTTCAGGTTCTGTTACTGCCTTACTGTAGGTCAACGCACACCTTTGGATTCATGTTATCTTAATGCACAGCACCTTCAGACTAGAGTTTCTGAAGTTTATCCCCACACCTAAAATAGATGTATCTCTCTAAATTTGCTGAATAGTCTTTGCTCCATACAAGATTTGACAAAATGAATTTTTAAAAAAATCATTCCTATTAACCATAACCATTACTCAATGCCAGGTACTGCCTTCAAATGTTTTATACAGAAAAGCCTTGGTTTGAACTACTGTCATATGAACATTATCCAAAGGTAATATTCTCGAATAAAATGCCTCTAACTCTATGTTGTCACTGGAAATATATTACCACTAGGCAAGGTGGCATATGCCTGTAATCACAGCACTTGGGAGGCTGAGGTGGGATGACTCCAAGTTTAAGTCCTGCCGCATCCAAGCATGAAGATGGCCTTTCACCTAATCCCTACTGCCTTTTTTTTTTTCTTCCTGAGTTTATTGGTACATTTAAGGTATACAGTACAGTTACATTCATTATTGGGATCGTGTATCTTTACATGACAGGTCTTGGATCTCATTTTTCCCCTTGTCCTTGCCCTCCCTTCACCCCTCTTACCCTCCCCACTTACACTTTATTTCCATTTTTTCATTTTCTTCTATTTTTTTCCTTTCCCTTATTACCTTTCCCCTACCCTTCCCACTTTCCCTACACCTTTAGCCCTTTTCTTCCTATTTCACATTGTTAATTATCTCATCGGGATCTTATGTACTATTATAGTTTATTCACACTAGAGAAACTATTCGGTATTTACACGTGACTTATTTATTTCACTTAGGAGTATATTCTCAATATGTATCCATTTTCCTATGAATGAATCTAATTTCACATTCTTTATGGCTGAGTAGTATAGCATTTTATAGAAAAACCACATCTTCTTTACCCAGTTTCCAACTGATGAGCAAATGGGCTGTTTCCAAGTTTTAGCTATTACAAACTGTGCCGCTATAAACATAAGTGCGCATTTATCACTGATACGATTCTTTTAATTCGTTTGGAAAGATACCTAGCAGAGGGATGGCTGGGTCAAATGAAACCTCTAGTCCCAGCTCTCTGAAGTATCTCCATATTGATTTCCATAATGGTTGCACCAGTCTGCACTCCCACCAACAATGGAGAAGGGTTCCTTTCTCCCCACAACCCCGCCAATTTTTTTTTTTGGTTGATTTCTCGATGGCAGCCATTCTTTCTGGGGTAGGTGGAATCTCAGTGTTGTTTTCATCTGCATCTCTCAAATAACCACTGATGTGGAACATTTTTCATATATTTATTGCTGCTTTTACTTCTTTGCCTGAGAAATGTCTGTTCATTTCAGATGCCCATTTTTGAATTGGGTCTTTATACTTGGGGGGGTCTGATTTTTTTGAGTTCTTTATATATTCTACATAATAGTCCTTTGTCTGAGGAGCAGCTGGTAAAAATTTTTTTACACATTGTAGGTTGTCTCTTAGTTCTGCTGATGGTTTCTTTTGCAGTGCAGAAGCTTTTTAATGATGAGATTCCAGTTGTTGATTCTTTCTGCTAGTTCCCGTGCTGGGGATTTGTTCATAAAGTCTTTTCCTATGCCCTACTCCCTTTCTCCTACACAGAGTAGATAGTCATTCTGGATGGCACAGCCCCAGGACACATTTACATTTTGTATCCTTGTTCCTTTTTTGTGCATGCCCCAATCACCAGACAATCACCTTCAGCCTAGGCCACATGGGCTACATGGTGCTAGTTACCCCATCTTCTTACACTGTAAATACAGAGTGCACTGGACGCCAGGTGGCCATTAGCTCATCAGGCCATGGTCCCACCTGTAAAGCTTAATCCTGGTATGTATTTTTTTTTTTTTTTTTTTGAGACAGGGTCTCACTATGTAGTTGAGACTGACCTGGAACTCACCATGTAGCCCAGGCTGGTCTCGAACTCACAGCGATCCTCCTGCCTCAGCCTCCTGAGTGCTGGGATTACAGGCGAGCGCCACCACGCCTGGCTATTGTTCTTTCTTAATATTCTTCCATTTTCTTCATCACCTACAGCTCTCCCGGCTTTGGAACCCTACATTGTGCAGGTCCTGGCAAAGTTCCACCCAGGTAATTTAGTGAGATCCTTGTTTCAAAATACAAAACAAAAAGGGTGGGGGAGTTAGCTTAGTGTCAAATCCCTGTGTTTAATTCCCAGTACTCCAAAAAGAGCAGGGCAGTGGTGGTGCATGCCTGTAACGCCACTTTAGAAAGGCTCAGGCTGAAGGATCACAATTTTCAGCCCAGCCTGGGCAACTTAGAGCTTGTCTAGAAACAAAACACAAGGTTAGGGGTATAGCTCACTGTCAAAGCCCTGGGTCTAATTCTCAGTACTACAAAGAAAACCCATAAATCAGTAACAGAAACAGAACAGATCTACCTACCTAAATACACAAGCAGGATTTGTTCAGAGACAGGCTGTGTTGAACGTATTAATATAAAAGCCATCTCTTTCCTGGAACACAGTATCCTAACAGGGTTCAGTGTCTGCCGCGGCTCCAGTCTATACGCTTTCAGTGGAACAGCCGGTGTGGTCCTTTGTAAAAGCACTTAGATCACAGCACTTCCCTGATGGATTCCAGTCACAGTAAAATCCAAAGCCTTCTCAACGGTCAGTAAGGTGCTGCATGATCTTCCCATCTGTATCCAATTATTGCTGATTCCCTCTCCTCTATTAGCTTTTTCGCACCTTCCTGCCCTATGTTCTTTGCTTCTGCCTGAAACTGAGCTACCCCAAATGTCCTGCCTGAAACTCAGCTTCTCAGGGAAACTAAATTTACCCTGACCATCCCCATTTAATTGTTCTCTCTCTTTGGGGTTTCTTTTCCCCCACAGCACTTACCCTTTAATATACTATGTCATTAGTTTGCCGTCTTCCTTTGTTGGATCTTTATCAAAGTGCAAAGACAAAATTGCCTAAAAGTGATGAGTTGGGTTTGTCTGGATTAGACCGTCTCCTACTTTCTGCAGTGGGAGGGGCTTTACCAGGTCTTAATTTTTCCAGAGATTGAGGGCTCTGTGGTAGGAACAATCATAATGCAGAACCAGTGAATCTATAAAATTACATAGCAAAGGTGATTAAAATGGCAGAGGGAATTAAAGGTATTAATCAGCTTGACTTTTTAGAGATTAACTGGGCATGATGGTGTATACCTGTGAACTCAGCAGTAGAGAGGCTGAGGCAGGAGGACCACCACCATGAATTCAAGGCCAGACTGAACTATACAGCAAGACCTTGACTCAAAAAACAAAACTGAAACCAAAATCCAATCAAACATACATAAGAATCAAGATTATACTGGATTATCCTGATGGACCCAATGAAATCACAGGGTCCTTAAAAGTAGAAGAGGGAATTGGGAAAAGAAAGCTAGAGTGATGTTGAGAAAGGACTCAAATGGTCAGGTCAGCTTCCACTGGCTTTGAGATGGAGAAAAGTAGTCAAAGCAAAGGGATGGTACTGTAGCCTGCCCTTACCTGACTCAAACTTAGAGAACTACTTCAGACCTATAACTTCCAGAACTGCAGTATATGAAGTTAGTGGTGCTTACCCGTTACTAAATTTGCAGTAATTTGTTATAATCAGAGTAGAAAATTAATAGTCTTCCTTCAGTTTAGAAAGGGCTCCCTCAGGTCCCATTATCTCCAACTATGAAATAGCTGGTTTTCTGACAGCTTCAGTCTTTAAATGGCTGGCACCTAAATCTAGTCCACCTGGTACAAAAACCACCTGATTTTCCACCCACATTATGAGTATTGCATGCAAAAGAGAAATAATACTAAGAAGTTTGATTCCTGGTGTAAAAAAAAGGAAGCAGAGCTTTACACTGGAGAACACAGGTATAACACACATCCAAGTGCATGTATAGGCTCTAACACACATCTTTTGGGATGATGAAAAGATGAAGATTCTTTCTTTTCTTTTCTTTTCTGACTGATACTAGCCCAAAAAGTCTTTTCTTCCAAACCAAGTCTACTTCTTAACTGGAGCTATGTGAAAAATGGTGGGATTCATCTAAAGCAAAACAGGTAATCAGTAGAGATATACCTTGTAGGACAATATAAACTTCAAATATCATAAGAGCAAGGATATGTATTCAGATCTATACAAAGTACTTTAAACAGTATTTCACCCTTGGTACTCCTTTGTCTTGAAGAAATGAATTTTATTAGGTCTATTTCACACCATATACATTCAATAGATTCAAGATGCCTTAAAGGCTTAAGGGCAAGACTGTAAAGCTAATAAAATAAAACATAGGGGATTTCTTTTCTGTAGTCTAAGGCACAAAAGGACTTTTTTAAATTCTCAAAACATAAAAAAATTAATCTAATTACACAAAGACTGGACCAGGGTCCAGGGATTTAGCTCAGTGGTAATGCCTCCTGCCTCACAAGTGCAAGGACCTGAGTTCAAAAAATAGAAAAAAAAAAAAAAAAAAAAAAAAAAAAAGAATAAAAATAAAAACCCAACTTTATGGCCGGGTATGGTGACCCACGCCTATAATCCCAGCACTCGGGAGGCTGGGACAGGAGGATCGCTGTGAGTTGGAGACCAGCCTGGGCTACATAGTGAGTTCCAGATCAGTCTCAACTACATAATGAGACCCTGTCTCAAAAAACCAAAAAACAAAACAAACAAACAAACAAACAAAAAAAGATTGGGCCAGGGATTTAGCTCAGTGGTTCTGCTGCCTGCCTCACAAGCCCAAGGAGCAGAGTTTGATTCCCGGTACCAAAGGGAAAAAAACATAATTACACAAATATTAAGATTCCTGTTCAATATACAAATCACAGAGTGAAAAAAGATATCTCTTACATCTAAAAGTGATGTGGGACTAAAAAATGGAATAGACAAAAATCTCTAGGAAGTTGATTTAAAAAAAGCGGGGACAGATTAGGAAAGCATAAGTAAAGGAAATTTACACAAAGGGAAACTAAATGACTCAGGATACAAGGCAATGCATGAATTCAAATCATTTAAAACTGCAATTTAAAACAAGACACCAGCACTTTGCATGTGTGCACACATGTGGCCAGTCTTAGAAAGGTGAATAACAAGAGAAGGTAGCAGGGTCATGATGATATACAACTCTTATCTCAGTTTAGACAGAAGCAGATACTCTGGAGAAAAAATCTTACCATTCTCAAATCAAGCATACGTATACCTATGACATAGCAATCTCACTGCCAGACAAGCATTCTAGAGACGTTCTCAAATTACTTGATATTAGATTCAGGGCAGATTAACTAGTGGTAACTGAAAGCTGACACAAATCCAAGTATTAATGGTAGAAAAGTACTCATTAAAAAAAAAAACAAAACACAGAAAAAGGACATAAAACTAAAGGTTAGCACCTGTCAGAAATATGGAAAGAATGTCTGCACAAAATAATTATTTTATTTGCTTGTTCTTGGGACAGGTTCTTATTGTGTTGCCCAAACTGGTCCGGTACTCCTGGGTTCAGACAATACTCCTGGCTCAGCCTCCTGCATATCTATCTGGTAGTGCTGGGGGATGTGTTCCACTGCTCCCAGATAATCTTAAAAAAACGGTTATATTCAGAACAAGTTCAAAACAAAGCTTGTAAATGAATAGCATTTAAAATTGTCTGCTTTATTTTCAGAGCCTTACATGGAGATCTGCTCCCACTATTACCTATTTTTTAAAAAAGCTTAGAAAATAATGGTCCGGGGATTTAGCTCAGAGGTTCTGCCACCTGCCTCTTAAACTCAAGGTCCCGAGTTCGATCTCCAGTACCAAAAGAAAATTAGAAAATAAGAGGATTTTCTCAATTTTGGAAAAACAGTAAAGTACAGTATATTGAGTGACTGGAGGCTGACAAATGGCTTTAACTGACTTATCAGCAGGGGTACCAGGGGCTCCCTTTAGTACCAGCACCAGAAGTTAGAAGAAATTTATCTATGAGCTACCAAAAATATTACAGAATAGTTCCTAGGAAGAGGCAAAGTAACAGGGGAAAAAATATGACCCTCATTCACTTGTAGAAAAATCACATCAGGGCCCAGGGATTTGGCTCAAGTGGTTCTGGCACCTGCCTCACAAGTGCAAGGACCCCTGTTGGATCCCCGTACCAAAAAAAGAAAGACAGAAAGATCACATCAGTCTCTGAATTGATCTTTCTTGCTCTCAGTCCTACAAACTTAATCTAGAAAAGTAATGTAGAAATTTGAGAAATTGTCCAATTCTTTTTTTTTTTTTTTTTTTTTTTTTTTTTTACTTTTTTTATGAGACAGGGTCTCACTATGTAGTTAAGACTGACCTGGAACTCACTATGTAGCCCAGGCTGGTCTCAAACTCGCAGCGATCCTCCTGCCTCAGCCTCCTGAATGCTGGGACTACAGGCATGCGCCACTACAAGCGGCTGTCCAATTCTTTAGTATCAATGAGCAAGACTATCTTAGCTCTTTTTCTGGAACCTATTCCTTTGAATTTCATGTCACTACTTAAAAGATAATAAAATTATTTGACGCATCTTCCCCTGCACAGCTTTACATACGCTGACACTGAAGTTCTCCAAGAGCTTAGGACCTTTTTTTCCAAGTAGTGGATAAATATAAGGGCAGTCTGGAAGTATCTGCATCTTTAACTACACATTTGTCCAAGCTTAAAAGCACCTGTAAGTATCAGAGGAAACGAAAAGACATTTTTATTTTAAGAAATTAAAGTTGCTGGGTCGGGGATTTAGCTCCGTGGTGCCACTGCCTACCTCACAAATGCAAGGTCTGAGTTCGATCTCCTGTACCAAAAAAAAAAAAAAGGACATTAAAGTTGCTACATTAAGAAAAAGCACTTATGTATGCGCGTGCAGGCAAATATAATGAAAGGTGAACAGCTGATGACCCCCCCAGGTGAAGGGTACTGGGTGTTCACTACGACTTTTTTCAATTTCCCTGTAGGTTTAGGGTTTTATAAATATTGAAGACCAAAGTCGTCAGTCTTAATTTAGTTCTCAACCTATGCATTCTTTAATGTCTTGCTTCTACTTACTATGTAGCTCATTATTGTTACTTCACGACTATAAACCTCTCGTGAATATGCTCGTCTATGAATCCACCCCGGGTCAACACGAAAAGTTTTTATCAAACTGAGGAACAATCTATTCCCACTAGGTAGATACTGAAATCGCTGACCCGTTTCTTGTGGTTATGACAATACAGTACCTAAGAATGTTATTACAAACTTGTAAATCTCTGCTCCTCCCATTAGACTATTAATAGCCGAAACGATTTATGAAGTGGACTCAGTTTTAAATTACTACCCGTCATCTTGCAATGCAACATTGGGCACTGTCCTCCCTGCCAATCAAACTGGGTCCCTACATCCAAATTTGTACGCCGTAGACCCAGAAAACAAGAAGTTGGCAAGCTGCGTTAACCCACTGCGGTCTCCATACGTTTAATAAAAGAAGGGCTCATATTAATAACTGGCTTTGGCGCAACTGAGAGCCCATGCTACGCCGGCGGACACATGGATCGGCAGTGAAGGAAGCGCTAAGTCCATCGGGTAGGCCGTTTTCCGTCCTCCTATGAAGACCTGGAGCATCAGGACAATAACGACCGCTGAGAGGGAAGCCCATCGCAGATGACCTTAGGCGAGGCGCCGACGGGGAGAGACGGAAGCGGCCGAAGACTACGGGGAGGGCCGAGGCCCCGGGCCCGAGGCGCT